AAGTAATGCAGTGGAGCTCGGGAGATGGTGAGGGTAGCTGATTTTGCTTGAAATTGAAAAAAAAACATTTATTCTTTCAAAAAAAAATACTATGATTATTGAAAATTGAAGTCACAGGCATGATTTACTTTGAAATAAAATCTCTCTCTCTCTCTCTCTCTTATATATATATATATATATATATATATATAATAGTAAAACAATCGCAATTTATTGAGAATTATGGGATGAGGGATTTATTTTTGACATGTATATATAGTTATGTTAATAAAAGATTAATTACTAACTTCGAAGGTTATGTTATTGTGAGGGTTATGAGATTGGATAGGTCACTTCGTATTATGTGTTCGCATAAAAAATAAATAAAATAGAATATCGGTGAAGCTCTCAGATTATTGAATTTCTTACAGTATATTCTTTTGCATTTGATCAGTTAAAAAGCTTATATCGTGATTTTTATTTTTTTTATATGAGTTTTAGAATTTAGGTCAATAATCATATTTCTTGAATATTTGATTTCGTTATGGTTGCAATTTAACTTCGACAGGAGTTATATGATTAAAAATAATTATATAATTAACATGGCATTTTTTACAAGATCACCGTGCAAAATAATAATATATTAAAATATTTATTAATCTATAACTAGTTGAGTTATAAAATTAAATCATTCTAGCATTTTATATAATTATAAAAAATAAATAAAGAAGCTCAATTATTTAATACAGATCCTAAGACACTTCATTGTGTACTTGCATAATTTGATTACATCTCTGCTTTTCTATGGACAAAGTTTTTGGCCTGTTTATAGGGATGTAATGGGATTTTTCATAGGACTCGTAGGTTATTTGCAAATTGATTAAGGACAGTTTTATATATATGTTTTACACAGCTGAATTTCATGGAAGCCATTTGAAGGCAAAAAAGAATCAAAGGCGAATATAGCTCGTGTAATTTCATTTTTTACATGTAATATAATTACTTCATTGTCTTTAAAAGACAAGAAAATTAAAGGTTGAATCATAGGGTATTTTACTATTTTTTTCTCATGCTTTTTTTATCATACTATATTTAGATTTAGAGAAAATTAGTATTTTTATTATTTTTTTTATAATTTTATTATTTGATATTAGAATACTGGATCTGTAATTTTTTTTTTATAAGGTTATCTTAGATCACATTTCATTAGATTAACCAAATGTGACTCTTCTTTTTTCAAGTGCTATATTTATTTATTTAGCTTTGATTCTTTTTTTCCAAGTCATTTTATAACAAATCTTATCACAATTTCATGTAATGGTTGGTGGAGTAAACCCAGGTTAACTTAGGGTTTTATTTTTTATTTTTTAAAATTTTTTTTTTCAATTTTATTTTTAATGGTTGGTGGAGTAAACCCAGGTTAACCTAAGGTTTTATTTTTTATTTTTTAAAATTTTTTTTTTCAATTTTATTTTTTAAAATTAGTTAGAGCTTCAACTTTTTTTATTCACTTTCCTTTATTTGATGTTATTCAAGATCATGAATTAGTCAAATTAGCTTAAATTTACTCAAATTATTAATGACCAGATATCTTTTTATATTAAAAAAATTAACTTTTTTCGCTATATATAGTTGAGAAAAAAAAATATAGTAAATGCTAAAAAGAAGTCCATTCCAAAAAAAAATCATAAGGATACATAAACTTGTATTGCATTGATTTTAAATTTGATGATAAATGGGATTGATTATAAAATTAATAGCTGACGAAATATTTATGTAATTTAAATAACAAGCTAGGTAAATAATAAAAAATAAATAGAAGATGATAATTAAACACTTATTAGATGAACGAGCAAGTGATTTTTATAAAAATTAATTTTTTATTTTTATTTTAGATTTATTTTTATTTGGAGATTGATTTGGGCTGTTACAAACCCGCATTTGGATTTTTTTTTTATTTTTTTAATTGAATTTTTTTCAATTAAAAAATAGTTAATTGGACTCCTTTTTCTAATCAAAACCAGAACATATAGTTAAGAACCACAGAGCCCATCAGGTAACCCTTCTACTACTGGCGTTGATAATATTTCCTTAACTACTTCTTTATCGAGAGCACGATACACATTCACCGTGAACTATCTACCTTCCTAACCAATAAAATTGAAGAAGAAAAAAGAACTTCAACTAGGCTTTATCTTGCCTAATTCAAGTATTTCTTCCACTAGCCTTTTATAGTCATGCGATTAGTCTCACACTGATACGAGATGCTCCTTTATTCAGCACAATAAGATTATTGTGAGTCCTGATTGGAGATGGTCCTTTAAGATCTTGAAATTATTGTAGTAATTCTTCCACCATAGTATAAAGTAGCTTAATCAATTTCCATTTTCCTATCTTATAAGATCAACCCCTCATGTACTCTTATAAGTTCTTGTAGAAATATTGGGTTGTAATCTATTTTTGAATTTTAAACTTTAATCCTTGAATTTGAACTTTTAACCTATTTTGTTGGAAGTTCATGGTTAAAACAGTGAAGTTGGGTCCAATAAAATTGGCCCAATAACCTTAAGTCACTTGATCCCAAGTAAAATGCCATAAAAAGCTAATCTCTTATCTTAACCTTTCACCTTCATGGTTTTAGGATTTTAGGGTCTCCCGAGTCATTAAGATCTCCGAGAATATTTAAAAATTCCTTCCTCAGTTTAATCTTCAACTTATTTGATCAAATATATCCTCGATCCACAACATTTGTTGTATGGGGTTCACTGTTCATTGTACTTAAAACAAAGCTCTTTATCTTTTTTTTCTTCTAAATTTAGATCTCGATAAGTTTCTGTGTGGGTATAAAAGATTTAGTATAAATCCCAGGCAAAGATTGAAATGGATTTCTCACCTGAGTTCTTGTTGGACTAGATCTCCACAATCTCTTTGCAATAGCCAAATTTTTCTTTTATCCACAGGCAACCACTAAATTATAGAAATTCACCATTCTAACCTCAAATTTAATATTGTCTCTCAATCCTCCAAGAAAATCAATTAAAACGATATGAATTTGAGAGACCCCTAGCCCGACTTCAGTGTATATCAAACTGGATCCTATATATATTAACTATCATTGTTTGTCTTGAGTTTAGAAGGAACTTTATAGGGTCATTATACAAGGGTTTGTTTGTAAGTGTAGTTGTAATTTTTTAAAGTATTTTTTATTTTAAAATATATTACATTAATATATTTTTATTTTTTAAAAAAATATTTTTAAAATTAACGCATTAAAATTATCAAAAACATATAAAAAAATTAATTTTTAATAAAAAATTTAAATTTTTAAAAATATGAATTAGTAAGTTAGTATTTCTAAACGAAGATACAAAGAATTTGAAGAGATTTTACAAAAGCTTCCACACTTGTAAGGACTCTTATCTTCTCCTGTTCTTTTTTTTTTTGTTTTTTTGGATTAACGTGGATGTCCGGGCCAGCTTGCGCGCACCACGACTAATCCCACGGGCCCTGAAGTTAACGACTATATACGCCTCCAGTGGCCATCATATAAGCAATTAAGGACTCGAACCTGATACTACAGAGAGAGCAAACCCCTTAGTTCTAAGTCTTTATCACTTCCACACTTGTAAGGACTCTTATCTTCTCCGGTTCTTGATAACATGGGATTGCCTTCCCTTTCATATAAAAACTGGTTGTACTGTTGTTGGGTATTATGGAAAATAAAAAATTGATTTTCCTTGTGAACCCAACCCATATAAGCAATTAAGGACTCGAACCTGATACTACAGAGAGAGCAAACCCCTTAGTTCTAAGTCTTTATCACTTAGCCACCACCTAAACGATTTATCTTCTCCGGTTCTTGATAACATTTGATTGCCTTCCCTTTCGTATAAAAACTGGTTGTACTGTTGTTGGGTATTATGGAAAATAAAAAATTGATTTTCCTTGTGAACCCAACCAATTAGGTTATCACCATTGAATCGTGGAAATTCCAGACGACTGTATTTGAGTTGAACAAGCTGGTGTTCCTCCCATGGGACCTCCTTATACCCGTGATTATTGTAGATCGACTCTGTAGAGGAAGTAGATGGTAAATTCACCGGCCTTTTTTCCAAAGCCTTAAATAATTGCTTCATCCTTGTTAACATGATTCTCAATTGCTGGTCTGTATCTTCCAAAATATGTTGTTGATCATGCTGTTGTGTGTCTTGTTATTGCTTTATTTTTTTTATTGTTTTCATCAATCGTGAAACTACAGTACCTTCACCATTTTTTTCCCAAGGAATGCCACTTCGATACCAAGTTATAACGAACCCAACTAGAACCATAAGTGAAATGATGAAAGTCCAAACGATAAAGGACTCACTTTTACTGAATTCTCAAAGTTTAAATTAAAAATAATAAAAATTAAAGAAACTTAAAATAAATAAGTTGATTACTTATAACCAAATGAAAAAATAATTTTCTAAACTAAATTTCAAGTTAAATTCAAGGTAACCTGGGCTTACTAGCTCACTTGTTTTATCTAGAAGTCTTTAAATAACATAACGTAGTGGTAAAAAACTTGAAATCTATATAATAAATTTTGAATTTGAGTTAAAGATATGTATTTTTTATAATAACTTGAAATAATTAATGTTTTATTTGCTAAGCTGAATATATAAAATATGCTGAGGTTTCTTTAAATTAAAAAAAAAAAAAGTTGCTCAGAAGCATTTTCCCACCTCCTCAAGCAATTCTGCTTCCTTATTTATTCACATGGCCATGGCTTTGAATTTCAATTAGAGATACGGTAGGCGTTAGTTGTGATTCATCTTAAAACGTGGTCGTTTTCTTGATCTTCTCTCGATTTCTTCATTTACTTGTACTGTGTCGTTTTGTTGAGGAGAAATATCGTCTTACACGCGTCAGCCAATGAAGAAAAGAGCAACCTCAGTCGCCAGCACTTGTCATCTTTCCCAAAGCCTCTTATTCGTGGTTCGTTCGTTCACTTCTTATCTTCTTGTCGACAGGCTCTTCGTTGCTTCTTCTAGCCTTTCGTTTTCCTCAATCCATTCACCTGACTGGTAGAGCAAGCTCTTCCACTTTCAAAGGAGAAAAACTAGAGTCTTCTACCTCCCTCCTGTTCCAGATGACCAAACAATATAATTTTATCATATTATCCTTGGAACAATCCTCTTAACAAAAGACTTTAAAAGCAAACGTTGCATTCTGGACAAAATAGGTACTTTCGAATTGGTCTCCTTTACCATCATCGGAAAATGGGAGAATAAGAACATAATTTCTTCTAATCCATGAAGCTTTCCTCATCCAATTTTTTTCTTGTTGTCCCTTCCAATCTCCTTTGCTTTATGGAGTCCCCCTCTGCTAATCCGTCCCATTCTTTGTTTTTTTTTTAAGGAAGGATCCTTTTATAGAACAGGGATAATCAGTGGTCATTTTGGAAACACTAGATTCTCAGCAACAATAACACAGAATTCTCAACATGCAATCCCAAAGAGTACGGAAATCAATCTTCAAGTATTGATTAAAACCAGTTGATACGTAGTCGTCAAATCCTCATGTTACAAGCAGTCGTTGTTTGAACACCAGCCCCAGCAAACATGAATACGAGCATTACTGGCGAGGTTGGTGGGCGTTGCATCTACCTAACTAATAAGATTTCATTTGCATTTACAGCTCTTAATTTCTCCATTTAATATTGTAGAAAACTACGTGTCAAGGTCTCAAGCTTGCTGCACAGCCCACCAACAAGGAGATTTGTTCTCCTAAAACTAGTTGGACTCTTCATTGCATCCTTTTCGCCATTTTTTTAAAACTACCATGGTATTTTTAATTGAGTTAATCGAGAGAGAAAAGTTCTGCGTCGGAAGGTGTTTGGGTTGGAACTGTGATTTGTTCCGACCACGATAAATTAATCGTTTGATAAATATTTAAAATATAGATTTTAGAGAGGAATCACATTGAAAATTAAGTTTGTATTGACAGTTTTGTGAACAAAAAATTGCTACTTTCAATTTACTTTTGCCCGCGCTCCCAAAAGAGGGGAAAAACTTAAAGGCCTACTAAATTTCTTGTTTGCTTCGTTCCTTCTCAGCTAAAATGAGAGTATTTGATTGGCAATTATTATTAAAGTATACTATTAAATAGATTTATCTGGCACTATTTACGTGGAGAATATCATATGAATTAATTTATGAGTTACTATTCTGTGAATTTTTTTTTTTTAAATCTAGTGTAATGAATTGATTTTATTTATATTGTTCATGTCATGTCATGCAAACGTGAACAATATTTTTTATTTTTTTAAATAATTAGTTTAAGATGAATTAAAATTATGTATACTATAATTTTGATTTTATTTCTAATAATATTTTATTTTATTTTATTACATGTTCAAAAAATTATGAAAATTATAGTTATTGTTGGATGAATTTTGTATGTAATGGAATTGTAGATAATTTAATAAAATAATAAAAAATATTTTATATAAAATATGATTTATTTCATGATATAATAACAATAGTTAAATCTAAAATATTTAAATTAAAAATCATAAATATTAATATATTTTTTTAATTTATTTTATAGCTTCAATTTCAAAAGCATTCTTAATCAAACATATTAAATTATTTTTTATTCAATCTCAATTTCAACCACAATTTTAACCAAACATGTATTTTTTTAAATTAATCTTCATTAAAAATACTTTTTATAAAATAATTTTTTTCAAACCACAATAATAACAATTACCACAATACTAAAAACCATCAATAATCACACCCACATGTGTATCATGATAAAATTTCTTTCTTGTAATTTAATTGATACCCAACATGATAGCATAGATACAAGATTCATTCATCTTTCGAAAAGCATATACCTTTCCCTTCTCGTTTTGTTAGTTAATGGTTAATTTTTTGAATTAGGCCATGTTGGATCAAATTCTGAGCACATATAGCCTTGTACAAGAAACGGTCTGGTAGTAGTTGATTACATTTTCTGGGCCTGGAATTTTAGCTTCTACAATAAAACTGGGTAAGAGATGGAGCCGCGAAGGATCTGGCATCAACATGTTGTTGTTTTTTTAATTAATATTAATGTTCAGTCTAGTTTGTATATATATTAATTAATTTTATAAATTTTAAAGTTACTAATCATATAAAGTTTTTAATATATTTAAAATTTATAAAACTTAAACTAGTAATATTTATATAATAAATCCGGAACAAATATTCTGTATTTGGAAAAGTGAAAATGATTTTCTCATGTAATTCGTAGTCAACGTCTACAAGTTTCCGTCCAGCATTTCTATCTGCCTAATAAAATTCCTATCCAAGAAGGCTTCTCTTAATTAAGAGAAACGCCGATGATAGCTGCTGCTATAATTGTGACTGTCGAAGTCAAACCATGCTAGCTGTGGCATTCACAATCTAGCACGCATTGCATGCATTAAATGTCACTACACTCTGTATTTTTTATTATTATTTTCTTGAGACATGCCCTAACTGATAAAGCTTTAACTAGGAAATGTTTTCAAGAACCTTGTTTGTAAGTTCCAAGTTAACCTCTGCCGTCATCAGAAATGCATGATATTGCTCCACCTTTGTCTTTCCTAGGAAGCAAGGGATAAGTTGAACTCCAAAATCCCACTTCAAGCTCAACTTTATATGAGAGAGCTATTAGTTCCTTGGCTGAACTAGGGATAATGATGGCCAGTGTTGAGTCAGAGCTGGTTTTTTCACGTACCTGAACCCGATTCAATATATCAAAATAAATAAATCAAAATATTGATATCAAGTTGAAAAAAAAATAAACAAAATTTCAATGAAGAATCTTGAATTGTAATTTTTTTTAAATAAGTTTATTATAAATCATTTTTCATCAAACCAGTTGTGAATTAATACCATAAACTTCAATTTAAGATGTATATTGAATATTTTCTAGCGAGGAAAAAAAAACCCACCTCTTAAAGTATATCAATTTATATTAGAGCCTCAAAGTTTTTTTTTTAAAAAATTAAGACAGTACAGAAGTTGAATTATATATTATTTGAACCCCTATTACTTTTCAATTCAGGCGTTTATTTATCCGAATAAAATCATAAATTAAGTAAAAGCATTTCTTTATAGAAAGATAATAATTGAGAATTTAAACTCGATATACATTGAAACAATAAAAATATAACTTATACTTTAAAATTTCCATTACTTTTTTATTTTAATTTCAGGATAATTTTTTCTAAATTTAATTTCAATCAATAAAAAAATATAAATTTTTTAATGAATATAAAATTAATAATCTTTCGTGTTTAAAGATAATAGAAATTTTACAAGTAATAATAACAGCAGTAACACTACAAAATGACGATGCAGTTAAACTATCAAAAATATTCTTTGTCGATAACTTAGGGCATCCAAGTGATTGAAACAGTAACATCGAGGATTTCTAGCTAGTGGACAAACAAATCTAAAAACTTAATGGAAAAAAATTGCTAGCGTGTCGGCCAATAAAAACACATGGTACTGTTAAACGCTTCAAGACTCCAACTACTTCATCTATAATCAATGGAAAAAACTTGCTAGTAGGCACCTGTCTTCCTTGTAACAACACTCAACGACCTTCATTTTAATGACGCCCCGGCCGCATTTATTTTCTAGTCGCCAATAATTAATACTGAGGCAGCCAGTGCACTGCTAGACCTCTCTCCGGTCCTGCTTCAACTCTGAAAGCCTCTCTTTCTTTAACAAAAACACAAAAAAAAAAAAAAAAAACTTGATTTTTTTTTAACAAAAACGTTTTCCACCAGTAAAAATAAACTGGGCATCGGCAGATGCAAATGTGCTGCTGAGTTTGCTCTTGTGAGAGATCATAAATGTCTTGAATACGAGAGGCTGCGTGGCCGTTGAAAAAAGATAGTCATGAATGCACTAGCTTTGTATACGGGTAAGTGTAGTTGTGAAACTGGCTTTGTTAATATCTAACCATTAATCCTGGTCGCATGTGAATTCTGGCGAATATTATTAGACGAGTTTTTAACTTTACTCTTGGCCTGTTAATTGAACAAGATTGAGTTGGAACATCAAATCTCGGCTTGTCTGTTCAACAAGACTGAGTCGAAAAGGCAAGCCATCATACGGTAACGTGTGAGAATTTTCTTTATGCGTTGGAGAGAATATGGGCTCATTTGTCATAATTAAAAAAGAAAAATGGCAAAATTAATTTTTCTGATATGGTTGTTTTTGTATTACTTAAGAAGTTTCTGGTTGGACTTCACAACTCAAAGCTGAGTTTTAAATCTATCTTTCTTGATTATATTCAATCTAAACAATACCACCAAACTTAGTTGAAGTTAGGCCACCAGTAAGAAACTAACAATCGATGGAATGGTTCGCCGAGACATGGTTCCAGGAAGAAAAGGAGTCTTTTTCTACTTCTACAATAATATATTTTTTTCTATTTTAGCCTTATAATTTATAAAAAAAGATTTTACCCTTGACTTTTAAATAACTGAAAAAAAAAGTTTTTTTACTCGCTAATTTTCCAAACCAAGTACCAACTGAGCTGACAACCTTTTTTTTCCCAACACTGTAAGATATCGTAACCTAGGCAGCCACAACAAACCACAAAATGCATTCCCAGATAAATGTTTAGTTAAAGGAATTAAAAAAAGGATAAATTAAATTAAAAAACCACGTGGACCACTTGTGGTCCACAATGTTTCGTGTTTGATGGACAAAGTCCTTCCATGGCAGTCAGTTACTGAATGTAATATTCATCGACATGTCATGAATTAAAGGTCAGTGTCACGAATTAACTTCTCCCATGTGGCATTTAAAAACCGGCGTGCAGTTGAAAGGGTCGAAACATGTACTTTTTAGTTTTTACCGCTAGAATAATTGCCGAGCCACCGGGGTTGAGAAGGGCGAGGGGAGTTGACTGGCATCGCATTTTTCATTTTAACTTCGGCTATGCTTATTTTAAAAAAAAAAATTAAATTTTTTTTTATTTTTATTTATTATTAAAAAAATTAATTGAAAAATACTTTTCAGTTAAAGAAAAATTTAGCTTGATTTTTTTAAAAATATTTTCCTAAAAAATTTGGATGGAAAACACTTTTTGAAAGTTATGAAAAATTTAAAAATGTTATATTATTTACTGATTATATCAAATTTGATTCTCAAAAATTTTGATTGTTATATATATTTTGTTTTAGATATTAATTTTCAATTTTATCTTTTAAAATTTAATTTTTATGTTAACTTTAATCCTTATTTTTATAATCCTTATTTATTTTTTCCCAATTATTTTTTTATTGAAATTTTTTATCTATCGAATTGAGTCTTCATTCTTTTGATTGTTACTTATTTTATTTAAAATAATTTATGAAATGTTAATTATTATTATTTTAAATTCTTCATCTTTTATTTTTTTATTTTTAGATTTGATCTATGTTATTTTTATTATTATTTATTTTATTTGAGATAATTTAAAAAATTATATTTTTTTTCAATTTCCTTCTCATTCAACTTTTTTATTTTGTAAGATTTATTTCTCATTATTTTAATAAATTTGAGAAAAATAAAATATGAATAAATTATTTTTCAGCTTATTTTTCATAATATAATCAAACACTAGAATGCATTTTTTAATTTATTTTTCATTACACTGCTAAATATAAAAAAATAATTCACTTTCTTAAAATTTATTTTCTAAATAAAACTACTTTTCAATAAATAAACATATCTTCCTTCCTTGTATATCATATTTTGAGAATGTGTAAAGTGCAGACTGTTCTATTTTATCAACTTTTTGAAGTTGTGTTACTAAGTCGGAGCCTCTAGTTTTTGTGGTAGCCTCTTTTTAT